GGCTCCTGGATCTCTGTGTCCCACTCCACCAGTGTGTGGGACAGCCGAAGGTCCCGGGGCCTGGCTGCAGGGAAGGCTGGGGGTCTGTTGGGCACAGGGAGTACCCAGAGTGAGAAGACCATGCAATGCCTGAATGATGACCTGGCCTCCTACATGGAGAGGGTGAGAAGCCTGGAGGCTGATAATTGGATACTGGATATCAAATTCAGGAACACCTGGAGAAAAAGGGACCCCAGGTCAGAGACTGGGGGCATTATTTCAAAGACAACTGAGGACAAAACCCACATCGTTCTGCTGACTGATGATGTCTGTCCTGCTGCTGCTGACTTCAGAGTCAAGTATGTGACAGAGCTGGCCATGCGCTAGTCAGTGGAGAGTGTCATCAATGAGCTCTATAAGGTCACTGATGACATTAATATCACTCAGCTGCAGCTGGCAATAGAGAGCAAGGCTTTCAAGGAGGACCTGCTCTTCATGAAGAAGCACAAGGAGGAAGTAAACGTTCTACCAAACTAGACTGCTGACTCAGTGTTGACCGGGAAGTTGGATGCCCCCAAATCTCAGGACCTTAGCAAGATCATGGCGGACATCTGGGCCCAGTATGACGAGCTGCCTCTGAGGAAAGGAGGGGAGCTAGACAAGTACTGGTCCCAGCTAGACAATTATTGGTCACAGAGGAGAGCACCACAGTGGTCACCTCACAGACTGCTGAGATAGGAGCTCCTGAGATGACACTCACGGGGCTAGGATATACAGTCCAGTCCTTGGAGATCAACTTGGACTCCATGAAAAATTTGAAGGCCAGCTTGGAGAACAGCCTGTGGGAGGTGGAGATGTGCTATGCCATGCAGATGGAGCAGCTCAATGGGATCCTGCTGCAGCTAGCGTCAGAGCTGGCCCAGACCTAGGCAGAGGGAAAGTGCCAGGTCCAAGAGTACAAGGCCCAGACGAGGCCGGTTTGGCTCGGTGGATGGAGCGTCGGCCTGCGGACTGAAGGGTCCCGGGTTCGATTCCGGTCGGGGGCATGTGCCTGGGTTGTGGGCACGTCCCCAGTGGGGGATGTGCAGGAGGCGGCTGATCGATGTCTCTCTCTCATCGATGTTTCTGACTCTCTTTCTCTCTCCCTTCCTCTCTGTGAAGGATCAATAAAATATATTTTTTAAAAAAAAGGCTAGCGCTGAACATCAAAGTCAAGCTGGAGGCTGAGATCACCACCAACTACTGCTTGCTGGAAGAAGGGGAGGACTTCCATCTTGGTGATGCCCTGGACAACAGCAACTCCATGCAATCCATTCAAAAGACCACCAGCATAGGATTGTGGACAGCAAAGTGGTATCTGAGGTCAATGACACCAAAGTTCTGAGGTATTAAGGCAGCAGAAATGGGGTACTCCTTGGTGGGAGCATGGGGGTGTGGGACAGAAGGCCAATAAAAAAGTTCAGAGATCCTTGAACATTAAAAATAATAGTCCTAGCCGGTTTGGCTCAGTTGGATAGAGCGTCAGCCTGAGGACCAAAGAGCCCTGTGTTTGATTCCAGTCAAGGGCACGTACCTTGGTTGCAGGCTCCTCCCCAGCTTGGGCCCTGGTCGGGGCTCATGCAGGAGTCAACCAATCAATGTATTTCTCTCACATCAATGCTTCTCTCTGTCTTTCCCTTTCTCTTCAACTCTCCCTAAAAATAAATGGACGGATATCCTCGGGTGAAGGATTTACAAACAAATAAACAAAAATAATAATAATAACAATAATCCACTGGGGGTTAAAGTATACACAAAAAAGATTGGCCATGTGTTGTTAATTATTGGACCTGAATTATGGTTATTGGTGAGTGCACCATACTATTCTATTTTTGATAAGCTTAAAATTTCAATAATAGCCCAGCTGGTATGGCTCACTGGTTGAGCATCATCCTGTGCACCAAGAGGTTACCGGTTAGATTCCCAGTCAGGGCACATGCCCAGGCTCGATCCCTGGTGAAGGCCAATTGATGGCTCGATCCCTGGTGGAGGCCAATTGATGTTTCTATTTCTCTCTCCCTCTTCCTTCCTCTCTCTCTAAAATTCAATAAAAACATATTTTTTAATGTCAATAATAAACTTTAAAAATAAATGTCATTTAAAACTTCTGGAACTAATAATGATTATATCAACTTTACAGGATACAAGGTTAAGATACAGAAGTTCATCACTGTAACAGCAATGAATACATGGAATCCTATATAATAAAAGGGTAATATGCAAATTGACCAAATGGCAGAACTACCAGTTAGTGGGGGGGCCGGCAAGCAGGCAGTGCCAGGCCAGCCAAGGCGCGTGCCAGTGGGCAGAGGGAGGTGACAGCAATCGTGGGGCAGCAGTAACCAGTGGCAGAGGAGGTGTGATGGGTGTGGGCAGTGCCCGCTGCTCCCTGGCCCGGCCATCCCCTGATAGGCCCGCCCTGATCGCTTCCCGCAGAGGGAGGCCACTGGCAGCTGCAGTGGCTTCCAGGCGATTTGGGGCGGGGCTGTTCAGCACCTTCCCCAAATCAGCTCGCTGGGTTCACCTCATGCAGAGGGAGGCCACCAGTGGCGGCTGCAGAAGCAGGGGTTGGGGAGGTGGCTGCTCGCCAACTGGCTCTGTCCCCTGATGAGCCTGCCACGTCGCCTCCCCTCCAGGGAGCGGGCCTAAGCTGTCAGTCAGACATCCCCTGAGGGCTCCCAGACTGTGAGAGGGCGCAGGCTGGTCTGAGGGACATACCCAAGTGCATGAATTTTCATGCACAGGGCCTCTAGTTTAAAATAAAAAACACAATACCATTTACTTTAACACCCCCAAAATACTTGGGTATAAATCTAAGAAAGTATGCATAAGACCTATACGAGGAAAACTACAAAACTCTAAAGAAAGAAAGAAAAGAACTAAATAAATAGAAAGACAGTCTATGTTTGTGGATAGGAAGACTCAATATTGTCAAGATGTCAGTTCTTGCCAACTTGGTATGTAGATTAAAAGCAATCCTAAGCGCAGCTGGTGTGGCTCATGGCTGAGCACTGACCTATGAATTAGGAGCTCACTGTTTGATTCCTGGTCAGGGCAAATGCCCTGGTTATCGGCTTGATCCCCGGTAGGGGGCATGCAGGAAACAGCCAATCAATAATTCTCCCTCATCATTGATGTTTCTCCCTTCCTTCCTCTCTGAAATTACACACACACACACACACACACACACAATCTATCTAAAAGCCTAAGCGACCGTCTGACCGTGGGATCAGTAGCTATGATGCACAATGACCACCAGGGGGCAAATGCTCAACGCAGGAGCTGCTGAGCTGCGGTGACACACCTGGAGCCAGAGAAGAGGGAGCTGGATTCCAGGGAGCATCACCGGAGAACCGCCCTCTAGCAATCTGGGACTCCTCGGGGGATGTCAGAGAGCCCGTTTTGGCCCGATGATCCCTGCAGGCCAGGCCGAGGGACCCCACTGTTTGCACAAATCCATGCATCAGGCCTCTAGTATATTTAATATATATTAAAAGCAATCCCAATCAAAATCCCCAGTAATTTATTTTGTGGATATTGACAAACTGGTCTCAAGTTAATATGGAAAGACAAAAGATCCAGAACAGCTAACACAATATTGAAGGAGAACGATGTTGAAGAAGTGATGCTACCTGACTTCAAGAATACTATAAAGCTACAGTAATCAAGACATTTTTATAACTTTAGCAAAACACAGACATGAAATAAACAAAGACTAGGTTTTTAGAGGTCAAAGCAATCTGCTAAAGTTAACTCTTTAGGAAAAATTAAATGCTAACCTTTTAGAATAAATTATTTTCTTTTAAAGTTTGGAATCCTATTTTTACTATAATGTTTCTCATTTGCAGGAGGAAAACAGATATCAGTGTTTCAAGCATAACTGGGGAAAAAGCAAACTGAATTATGATGAAATTAAAGTTTAAAAAAGAAACAAAAGGGTTATAAAAACTTTTCAGTTGATAAATCCCATTCCATAGAACAGTTTAGCTTCTTTAGTAATCTAACGATTCCTTAGAGCCAGATTGTCTTTATATTGATTTACTATACAATGAAACAACAGTCTCAAGACCAAAAGGTGCTTTGATATATTGTTCTTATAATGAGGTTCTTACTAGTAACTACAATGTCAGAATTAAGTTTAAAAGCATTTTTTTTCATATTTAACATGTGAGATCTATAGTATTACAGCTTTGTTTTCTATTAAAGAACATTAAATTGAAAATTAAATTGAATGAGGGGGAGGGGAGCCAGAATAGCTATCGTCATTCCCTTAATAAATATATTCCAGTTGTGTATAACAGTTCTAGTGCTATTGTTCAATCTGTCCCTTAACCTTTTTGCAGCTATTCTAGGAAATGGAAAAGTGATTTTATACAGTCCTGTTGTCCTTCCCTCCTTATAATTATTCTTAATTATTTCTTGACTCTCTGGACCTTATATTTTACTTTTGACAAGAAACTAGAGTAATGATCCCAGAAGGAAAGCTAAAGAAGGAATCAAAATCTAGAAACATTTTCTCTTGCTTCATTTCCTATTCCAATGAAACATCAACTCAAAGGATACAGAATATCCTGCAGTATATTATCTCTTAGCATTCCCCCTAACATATGTTCACTCTCCAAAAAGTACATTTTCAAGAGGCATTTGGCCATCCTGTAAGTATATTCCAATTTATTAGGTTTCTAAGATAAGAAAAGCAACTGTTATATGAATTCCAAAAGTAGTAATACACAAAGCTGTAAAGTAATATCTACATACTTAGTTAATGAGGTAACAGATAAAGTTATAAATGTTCTGTACTCTTCTAAAATTAATTTCTGTCATGATAAAAAGTTGTAACTAACAGTAGTACTGTACAGGGTGAGGGAAAGTATAACCATTCAAAACACATTAAGAGAATGCTTTTTAAAAATACAGATATAAATGTTGATCATTACTCCACAACTATGCTTTTAACAATTTATGCCCATATATATTCTTACCCTTCTGGGTTTGTTTCCTGGACATTGCAGTTTCTTTTATCTCAAAAGATACAGAAGAAAAGTATTCTTTTGCCTTGTCTGGGTTCTGATTGTGGTTATCTCTGATTTAAAGGTAGGCAAGAGAAGTCTGTAGTTGGAGGTGTTAAGTACAAAATCCTGGTTATTTGAAATTCTGCTAACTGGTGATCTTTCTTTCTATTATCTTCTTATCAGGAAATATCATTGCAGACATTCATGTCTCTCCAGGATGATTCTAGAGGGAGGAAAAATACACATAATTACAGTTATAGTAATAGCTATTTGTACAAAATTTCTGAAAGATATCCACAGGTTTTGTTTTGCATTTTTTCTAAACAAAACTAGTGATTAGAAGAAAAGTACTCTAAAAAATCTATATATATAAAAGCCAAACGTGCAAAGTGTCCCCTCGGGAGTTTGACCAACCGGGAGTTCAATCGCTCGCAATAACATGCTCTGACCACCAGGGGGTGGTGTGGAATGAAGGAAGGCTCCAGCTGGCAGCCGGCAGCCAGGGAAGGGAGGCCCTGGCAGGCAGCCAGCAGCTGCTAGGGACCCTACCTGTGCACGAATTTCTTGCACTGGGCCTCTAGTATGGCTATAAAAAGCAATGTTTTGCTCTTTTAGAAACTTTAATCTTAGAATCAAACCATCTTCTTATTTCAGGAAGCATGTTCTCTTAGACATCTTATATTTTGTATCTATCTCAAAAATATTATCCCCATCTCTGCTTTACAAACTATTATCTCATCACTCCCTAAGATCTTTCTTGCTACCTGCTCTTCCTGTCCAAATCAAGGGTCTTTTTTCTTCCTCTAGAATTTCCTATTTCTAATCTCTCCTCAGGTTTCCCAGCTCAAATACAGTTGCAAAAAACTTAGGGCTGGGGGTGAATGGGAAGCACACAAAGGAATTTTATTTTATCTTTTAAAATATATTTTTATTGATTTCAGAGAGGAAAGGAGAGACAGAGAGAGATAGAAACATCAATGATGAGAGAGAATCATTGATTAGCCCCACACTGGGGATCAAGCCCATAACCCAGGCATGTGCCCCAATTGAGAATCGAATCATGACCTCCTAGTTCATAGGTTAACGACACCAGGCAAGATTTTTTTTTTTAAAAGATTACACCAAGCATAAAAAATAAAATAAAATGGTTTAAAGCAGCAGTTCTCAACCTGTGGGTCGCGACCCCTTTGGCGGTTGAACGACCCTTTCACAGGGGTCACCTAAGACCATCCTGCATATCAGATATTTACATTACG